CAATCACTTCATCTTGGCCAAGGGTTCAAAAATATGACACAGTGTAAAAACCGTCCATGTAGACTAACCAGACAAGACACCATTACTGCATTGGCACTACTATACACTTGATCGCGTATTTCTAAATCTCGAGGCCCGTGGGCATATTGGCAACACACAGCAACCTATGTATGTCAATCAAAGAGATATTTAAACCCAAAGAACTCTTACACTCAAGCTCCTTATACTGCACTGGTTGCCAGAGCAGCCTGTACGTTTCATTCGTTCAGCACTAATACCAGAAGTGGTTTGTTTGCTTTCATTTCTCTGTTTGAGACATTATCTGTGATCCAGCCAAACAAATGAGTCGACAGTCGCCAGAGCCACTTTTGAGTTGAAACGCTTCCAAAAGACTCTTTCACAGTGCAAATCCATAGCAACCAGCAACATTATTCATCGACATGACGATGCCAGACTGAGTGGTTCATCGAAAGGAAGAGCTCAGTTTGCCCTTTATTTCACCAAGTAGAACAAAATTACTGGGAAAATAGCTTGAAGGTTCATTGTGCGGGACCCTGCCCCTTTTGTATGTTGTAATCTTAGATTATGTCATTCTTTAAGAACAACTCTTCTGGAACATTTTTAAATTGTGCAGTTTGTGGGTTTAGAAGACAAAACAGCTGTCCTCAGAGTGCCTGAGTTTCCTTGGTGCTGACACAGCAAATGCTGAATTGTAAATTACTGAGATATGGACACCCAAGATATTCATGGTAAAATGCATCAGTTTCACGTTGGCGTTTAGATCTGGAGATACGTAATTGTAATGCGAACCCATGTTGAAGAGATCTGCTATTAACAGATTTCCTTTGTTTTTGTACATACTTTCTTCATGAATTTTGTTTGGGATTGGCAACTCAATTCCAAAACAACTCAAGATGAAAAATGAACTTTTCAGGCCTTCTTGATGATGAAACGTCATCTACATGTATGCAGTTGACCGTGACTGTACTTTGCAATTCAGGGCTTGGATGTATGTAAAGGCCAGTGTTCTATAGTTTTTGGACTGTTTTAGTAATGCGAAATGATCCCCAAGCAATATGCGACTGGGGTATTCACGGCAGCACGGTGTTTTCACATCTATCCTCTGAGCCCACGCTTTGAGTAAATTTCCTTGCCAATTCTGGAGCCTCCCGCCCACGACTGGATTGGCATATCTAGGTTCCTGTAAATCCCTGGAGCAATGGGAAAGCTAAGCCAGACAGCGCAAATGCAAGCCAGACTAAAGAATACTATAAAGGAAACCTGCAGTGGATATTTGGCTAAATTTATTTTCTTACTATGTGGTAAAACAATACGAACAAGATCCAATCTAAATACTTGTCTTCTTTGAAGTGAAATAACGTGGTAGGTTTTCAAATCTTAGAAAATTCTTTCATCAACATATACATGTACACAAAGGCTCTAATTTATGTTGTCATACAAAGCACCCCTTGTATGAGAATGGTACAAAAACCAATCCTTCAAACCTCACCCAAAAATGTTCAGAAAATATACCCTACATTGTACCACTACGTTGTACAAAGTATTGTCCAAAGAAGCTGTTTAACAAGAAAACTAATATAAAGTGGAACCTATTCCAAGAGAAGAGAGAAGAGTGTGGTGCATATGGAAACCTCCTGTCCTGCCTTGAATAGCATCAGGGTATTGCTCCTGAATGTGGAAATATTCATTTACATAGAATTCAAAATGTTGACATTTCTCCCTTTGACTGCTACAGATTAGGTGGAAAATCATGGTAGCATGCAAATGAAGCTGAGCTTCGAATCAAGTAAAGATACCATTTCATGGTTCCTTGAAGAGGACCTGTCCTTGCAGAGGTAGACAATGATGTTGAAAGCAGTGCCCTCTCAGTGTGTAATCTTTGCTTCATACTCCCTGTGAGGAAAGCCCATCGGTTACCGGCCTCATCCTCGGACCCAGTGGCACCATTCTGCCAACAGGGACCTGCTATTTGCTGCAGGTTGAAAAACAAATTAGGCCCTTGTCCAAGGTGTACTGCTTACATGTACAATGTAGGTGCCCAGCACAGGATATTAGGATTTGACAAACTGCACCTTTTAAAGGATTTCTTTGCACTTTGTGGGAAAGCTTGTATTCTTAATGTACATGTACATTTCAGTTTATAAACATTATCAAGTAGCAGATTGTGAAGGTTTTTGGTTTTTAAGCTGTTAACTTGTGAAAGCAAATAGATGTGGGTTTTTCTTTAAATCTTGTCCAACCTAGCGTGAAAATACTCATTCCGACTACACCTGAAAAAACCGGGTTCTTACCATTCAGCAGTTGAAGGGTTGAATGAAACCAAATCATCACCCCCTCTCAAATATCCAAGCATAACTTCCCTGAAAAACACTCTTAATATTTATTTTCCATGGTGCGACATGAACCGTGGACACCACTTAGCCTAATGCACCCAACGAGCTAGAAATCTGATTCAGCTTCTGACAACAGAATCCCCTAGTAAATACAAACTCCTCTCAGGCGAATCCTTTTGCCACTTACCTGCTGCCGCATAAAATGTCAAGTATTTTTACTTCTTGAGTAATTTTTCTGAGAGCCTTTCTGGAGTTTGCGAGGGTCTGTAAAACACCTCTTAGTCCCACTTCAGTCAGAATCGTAACAGTCCTTTTCTTTTCGTGTTACCGTTGAAAATGTGATCACATTTTGTGTCAAGTGTGTCTGCGTCGTGAGTGATTGACCTGACCAAACTTACAACTCTTCATATCTACTCAAACTACAATACGTGTAAGAAAAGGTTTCTGACATTGGTTTTTGTGTATCTTGTTTTGGGGTTTTTTTGGGGGGGGGTTCTTTTTTCATTCAACTTGGTTGAACTGAGTTTTTTGAAACTGTGTATGTATTTTGATTTCCACACATGGCTGCTCACTAATCACAGAGGCTTTTAGTAGAGGGCAGTATTTCAGCCACCTGCAGTGTTCACGGCCCAATGAGTCTTGGCGCAGGATGTCAGTTATTGCTGATTGTGGCTGTGTGCTGCCTTGCCTGACTGATTATCTTGAGCAGTACTGAGGCTCACACACGATAACGTTTTTGCATTGTGTAGGAATGGGTACATGTGTATGGCTTTTCATCAGCAAACATGATGGCCATGATCAACTGTAGTCAACAAGCATTTGCTGGTGTTCACAAACCTGGCAAATGTGATTTCTACAACTCTTCCAAGTACCTCAGCATCTGAGGAAGTGTGACTAGCTGGGGATAAAATATTGGGAGTAAGAAGCATGTGCACCAACAGTTTTGAAAGTCATTCAGAACTGATCCATTTGCAGCTTGTGCCGGCAGTATTATGCCGTTCGAACCCAGGGAACCAGACAAGACATCGCTGACTGTGATGCGATGAGGGTGCGTAGAAATAGGGAAGTAAGGGTTTAAAAAAAAACCTGCAAGCAGGTTGTGCAAGGAGTAGTTGTTAAAAGCATTCATTATAAACAGTTTCACTCAGTGTTCCATCAAGATCATTTCAGAAATTCAGGAACAAATTAGTCGTTAGTGACAGATTCCTGCAAATTCCATGGAAAAGATTTCCCAGTACAAAGACACATTTACACCCCTGCCCAGAGAAAGAAATGACCCAGGATGCAGTTGTGAGACAGTGTGGTAACAGTTTGAAGTAAACCTTATTCACAGGTCAGCCATTTGAAATTGTGAGCAAGATTATCTCATCAAATTTGGAACTTGAGGATAGAAATTAGAGCAATAAAATGAAATTTCATGACAAATTAGCATCTGTCTACCCTTGTGAATGATTTCAAATTCTTGAGGAAACATACGTATACAGGCACCTTAGTGTTTGAAGCCAGATAGAATGCTATCCCAAATCAACAGTTACAATATGTAACACAGAGCCAAGGAACAAGATTAAAAATACTTGCAGCTTCTTCATGAATAAGATCTATGGTTGTGCAAGGGCTTCTTGGTACATTGTATGTGGCTTACAGGATTTAACAATTGATCACCGCAATCCAGAACCAAGACTATCTGGTTTGTACGTGACTTCATCACAAAGGCAGATGTGCCACAATTTACAGACTCCCATTCGACGATCGCTGAAGTTACACGTTAACTTCCGGTTCTATGGTGCCATGCTAACAGCAATCAATGCATGTAACTCTACATGCATTGCATGCACAGTGGGCGTGGTTTAAACTGAAGTGACATCACACTTACGAACTGGATAGCTTACCATGTGGAACAGGTCAGCTCCCTAAGAATGGCTCATCACAGCCACAGTATGTTGAAACAGTTTAATACAAGTAGCATGCGGGACATGGACATCTCATTTAGCCATTTGCCGATTTTGGCCTGACAGTTTAGATCTTTTTGTCTTTTTTTTTTTTTTTTGAGGGGGGAATGCATTGAAAGTACAGACATCAAATAAATGAGTGTCATTTATTTGATCTGTGGAAATGTCTAACCCAGGCTTGCACTGCTTATAGGCTGGCTAATTGTCTAATGATTAAACCAAAGTAAACACATTGATATCAATCCATCCTGACTCATGCTGTTCGTACACAATCCGCCATGGGTAGGCATAGGTTTGCCAGATGATGTCTTTATAACAGTGTTTTCTTCTGTTGCTCAAGGATCTCATTGTAAAAGTGCTGAAAAGGTCTTTATTTCACCATGTGGTAAAGACGAGAAGAAAAATTTCTATTGAATTTTGGAGGTAACTATCCCGCTTCAGAATTAAATTCAGCATTTGCCAGAAAATAAAATTATCGCCCCTTTTTTTGGATGTACCAGTGGCTCCCTAGAGGAATAGTGGCCTACAGTCTCTGTACTGTTTTGCAGTATAGTATGCATCATACCTTGGATCTCCATGTGTCGTTTGTCACTCCTACGTGTGTTTACTTCTTGAATTATGTATGTGTGCATGTATTGTTGTACTGAGGTTTGATGATGTCCCCTAATAATGCTCATCTGCATCTTTTTGTTGACAGGAGTGGTCGGCAGACATGTGAACCATTCACTGGCCTGACGAGCCTGACTGAGCCCCCCACGGGCCCGGGGTTTGGGGTTCGGGATGACCTCTAGTTGTCAACAACACTAGGTGTCCTGTGGTTACCAAGGTTACCTGTTTCTTGTATCATCCCCTCCCCTCTCCACCTCCCCCCCCCCCACCAACCTTCGGGTGATTTGACTCCCAGGGGAAGTGCAAGATGACCCGATGTTGTCAACAACTTCTCATAGGAGTCTTGAGTGGCACCGCTGCTTTAAGATGCCGCTCGGTCTTCTTGATGTCTGTCGAGAGATGAAAACTGCAAGCTAAAGACCTAGATCTGTATCCGGTGTGGTTTGTAAATAAGTAGCAGAAGAAGGCGGAGTGTAAAAAAAAAAAAAGCAGGTTATTAGCGTTCCGTTAATGGAGTTTTGCAATACACAAAGGAATTCTTGTCCAGGAGAACTCACTTCACCCATCTTGTAGCCACTCACAGCTCACCTACACACTTACAGTTCCACTCTGAGGCGATAGAATTCATGGAGATACGGCCAGTTGCGTAAAGGAGCAGAAACGAGGCGTCAGTCCCATAATCAACTGGAAAACATCCCATCTGAGTGTAAATTATGGACAAATTACAAGCCACTGGATTTCTTGGTTCTGTTTGGGATTGAGACAGGTTTAAAAGAAGATGCAATTTTTTGGTTCCAAAATTGGGTGTTTTTTTATTTACTCTTGTTATGAAAGCACCGATTTACTCTTGTTATGAAAGCACCGCTTAATTTTTTCAGTTATTTATTAAAGATTGCAGTCATTTTCTGAAAGTTTCGAAATAATTTCCCTTAAGTCTCCAAAATGTGTGTCGAAATTTGTAGCCTGCTGAAAAAAATGCTTTCGTTACTGATATCTGGAAGTGCAGTTTTTGTCTTTATGACGTCTGCTGCCATTTTCCTTTGTCCATTTCCCAAGAACCAAAGTAGCAAGACTGCAAGAGACAAGGAAACAAAGAATTGGTGTCTTATGTTGTCTGAATATTGTACAATTCAAGCATGTTGCAATTGCTGTGAGTACATTCTAGCTACATGTACCTTTGATACCTTCAGCCTCTTTGAATTTTCCCCACCCTGCACCAGAATGGATTTTTCACAGTATCCAGTCTGTTTATCACGGTATCCAGCATTCCATTTGCCACAATGTCCGTAGAACATTCAGGCACACCAGCCCATTCCCACAAGAGAATAGGTGGCATTTTACAACAAACACACCCCTCCCCACGTTGACAACAAAAAAATTGAAGTAAAGTGCTGTTCTGGGAAGAATCATAATTAAAAGAGAGCACAGACTTGCCTGTTGATTTTGTGTTATACCGAGCGCCTACTTCTCAAGACAAGATCAAACAAAGCTCTAATGGGCACTTTTAATAAACGGACCCTGGGCCATTTACTTGTTTTAAAAGCTGCACAGTTCTTTTATTGCATTCAGGTCCCATGGTGATAAATGCACACACCTACGGCCTAGAATGCCCCATCTGAATGGTTTCATCGGGGTCGAATAAATTTTAGGAGAAAAATTCAGCATGATTAAAGCAAATGGTGTGATAGTTAGCAGATTTACATGTCAAGAGTTGGCAGTGAAATGTTAGTCCTTTTTAAGTTGTCAGAGTGAATTGGATTTAAATGGAGATTAACTATTTTAACTTCATTTGTATCAAAGGCGTTTTGCTCTTAATGCCCCGTCTTCTGGAGTTTTTTGTTACAAGTCACCATTTCATGCAGCTCTGCGTGACCTTTCACAGTATAGTAGTGTCCATGTTAAGACCTTTTTGATCGACCTATTTCAAATATATGAGGTGACCTTTGGCACTTCAATCAATCAATGTATGTACCGTATTTCCCTTTAAAGCAGTGGTCTTAATTTGTGCTCGAAAGTGGTGTATAGTGGATACTGGGGGACGACTTTCCTTGCCATGGAAGGGGGGGGGGTCTGATACCATATGACTCTGGGGGCAGTGTTCGAGGTACAGATGTAATCTATATTAATGTGTTACACTCCTGCTAAACTGTCATCAAAACGGCATATTTATGGCTTTTAAAAATGTTTCCATTTTGAGTGATATTGAACGCATCTCGATTGTTGGGAAGTCTGAAGAATTTTTCACAATTCTCACTACGAAAAAGTGGGGGAGGGGTGATTCAGTTGCCCATCCCCCAGGTCAAAAGGAGGGAGGAATATCTCCCCCATTCCCCAACTGGGATTTACGCCCATGCTTAAAAGTCCCGGTGTACGACAGTTTATTCACAGCCGACTTGTTGAAGTTCCAGTTTTACAATGAACTTACATTTTGTACGTTGGCAATACCCATGAAGGTTGATGTTGCAGAAGGAAAACCTGTTTTTGAGCGCCTGATCTGCTTTCCGAGATCGTGTTGGGAGCCCAGACTGTGATGAAACACCAGATGTCTGCTGATCGTATATGCCCGCTGTGGGAATATTCACTGTGTACTGTCTACTTGGGGCACCTGTCTCTGTTTGAAGAGCCGTGAAATTACAGCACATCTCTGTGTATCTAGGATCGTTCACGAAACGCTTCCACTGAAATTATCTGGTCTTTTATTTGTCCCAGGAGCATATTCTTGGATTACAGTTTTTATGTTGGATTATCGATTGAGTTGTAATAAAAGTAAGTTTTGACAAAAGCAGGCACTTTGAACACATGGTCGCAGTTTGATGTTTTATATGAAGTGCCATTCCGCTTTCCTCCATAGAGCTGCTGCCCTCATTACGTTTGACAGAACCCAGTGACACGGTTTTATTTCGTGTTAATCCGAGTGTCACAGCTGCCCGAGAGGGGATCATAACACGACTCTCCCAGTCCACTCCAACCCTAGCGATCAATTTTAGAGGTGTTTAATCCTTGAGGTGTATGATTATTTCGGCCTTGGGAAGTGTTAACGCGAGTCTGAATTGTGTCACCATCTGGATCACCACCCAGCTCTCTGGAATTCACAGTTCATGAGATGTGGACACGTTGCATTAGGAGATAATTGAAGATGTATTTATTCAGAGTTCCCACCCTCCACCTTCCCCGGGCCCTCAGTCCAACCAATAGCATGGCTGGGGTGTGATTTGGCAACCAGAATTGGAAGCCTTAAGGCCTTCTCCGATAGCGTAATGCTCGTGGATATGTGGTGCGCGCGCTTCTACGTGCCTCTTCGACCAATTGGGTGCTGTAACCTGCCACGTGCACAGATGGGTCAAGCTTAAGAACCCGCTTGTGAGATGGCGTCTCCTCGTAGTTTGTGCCTACCTTGGATAAGAAAGCGACGCGTCGCGACGGCTGGTCGTTGGCACAAAAGCTAAAGGAATCCTTCACGAAGTGATAAAAGGATCTGTCCCAAAGCACCAAAAATACTATTCTCTGAAAACACCCATCTTTAACACTGATGGGGCAAAATCTGTTATCAGGGGTGAACTTTCCTGCGAACTTAGGCCGCAATGTGTAGGTGGTAGGAAATACAAGAAAGGATTATACCAAATCGATAGAATAAACAAGTTGCCACATGCGCGCCGAATGAGTGTTCCATAGTCCAGCACCGTCCAGGTAGATTCATCACCTCGGCCAGATGTTTTAACGTACAGACGCGGCGAACTTTATTTGCAATGAAGTTGGAAACGCGTGGAGGAATAATTAGTTTCTCCGAACGCAAGCCTCGTGTAAACAAGGATTTAATTACAGTCTGAGCATAGAGCTTATGGTCTGAGTGGGAGAAGAGAAAGTGGTTGCTGTCATAACACCGTGGAACTGGTCTTGTTTGGGGACTGCCGTTGACAGAAAGGTTACGCACTTCATACATCGGGTTTTTTCCCCAAGCAAAGAGTTCCAAAACTTGCTGATGTAGCAGTGACGAGTTTTTAATGAAAAGTGGATACATTTTCTCTGTGCCTTTGGTTTCAACTTCTCTTAATTTACAGACATTTTGCCTCTTCCAGGAAACGTCGCAACTTCATTGACTTTGTTGCATCACGATGCAATTTTATGAGCTTGTGTAGTTTTTATGATTTATAACGTCATCCATTTTCCCTCGCCGAACGCCATTAAACCCGGAAGAGTGTCTTGTAACGTGTCGACTGTCTTCGGTTTAACATAATGTTCGATGGTTCTGGATCGGTGCACATCGATGTGTATGTGTGTCCCTACATTGGTAATTGGCCTAATTTTAAAAGCTGCTGTCTCCGGCTCCTCTTTGGAGCAGACGGGATGAGATTCAACCTGATGAAGATCATACCGTGTTTATTCTAGGTTTTCCCTGGGTTTTTTTAACACGTTTCTCATTCCAATTGACCTCATGACAATTCAGTTTAGTCCAAGAAAAAAACGCCCTTGCTAAAAACAATTTCGTCTTAAACCATTAAACTTCAAAAGTTAGTCAACACATTTCCAGGCCACGTCGAGAGTATTCCCTATTACAGTTCAAATTCGTCCAAGGTGTCTTAGAGTCTCAGCATTCAGAAATCGAATTCGTCTTGTGCCAATCTCTTTAATACCTTCGTTAGGTGAATTAGTCCATTTACTCAAGCATAGCTGAACGCATTTGTTTACACGCCAAGCAGGAGTTAAGTTGTTTTGTAAAGAGAACATGGCCTACACATAATTTCTTAATATCAAGGAAGAGAGCATATTAATTTCACCAATCAGAGAAGAGCAGTTAATCAAAGGGATAAAACATCCTCACCGGCGAGATGTATGGAGCTGCAAAGAGGTTTGACGAAATGGTACAAACATTTGATCAAAATGTTCGATATCAGACAATTTTGTTTTCTGAATAACGCAGTTCGGCGCATGCTCCGGAGACGAAATAGGATACTCGGTCAAAATGGTGCTCATGCTTAGAATTCGGTTGACCAATCGTCTGATCATGTGAAACCAATCGACTCAATTGAACACTGCAGGTGCCCTGAATCGATTTCCTTGGACGAAATCTTTCGATTTCGGAAAATTCGCATGTTTGAATTACTTAATATGAATGAAAATCGTGTTAAAGTAGGCGGGAAAACCTATGTTATCACACGACTGTGTTCCGGTTTCTTCGTGTTCATGACCAGCTCAAGTTTTCACCGACCAATCTGCCAAACTGCAGAAACATCCCTGGGGAGTACTTTATCTTTCGGTTTACAAATTTCTTACGTTGTTCATCTTGTTTTGGTTCTTTGGTGTTTGGTCTGGGGTGACGGAATGCATGCTCATTTCATCATGCCGAAAACTTGGGACTTTTACTTATTCAAAATAAATTTCGAAGAATCGGTTTACACAAATCCATACAAACCTGTCCGGACGATCACAATTTTCGACGGTACCAAAGGAATGCGACGGGATAGGCAGAAAGTAGTGCATTTAGTTCTCGAACCATGTTCTAAATCTTGTGCATGGAAGTAAGTTCCAAACGAGTCTTAATTGCCAAGTTAACGGAAGACAAACATTGTGGAAAATTTCTTCAGTAACTGGTTTCGTGACCACTATAGATTAGTATTAAACCAACCAAACAAGAGAAAATGGTTAAGTTTCTGGGCAGGGTCTTCGTAAAAAATAAATAGAGTGATCCATCGTGGGTTGAGAACTATGTAATTGCAATTTCCTTCGCTCGCACACGTTGTGGAGGCAGATTGACATCGTGCCCTCGCTGACTGCTGACATTTGGATTCTCTCAGGACATTCCAATCCACGCGCGTCTGCCTGTCCTACCCCCATCTGACAGGTGAGGTCATTCAATAGCGTCACCAGAGAGCCGAATCCTTCCCTCATCCTCGGTCAAGTGTGGCTGCTTCCTTAACGTGTAATCCGCTTTTGTTCACCGCTCCTCCAAGATCCTTGCTTTCCTGTTATTCATTCAAGAGGTCTAACAAAATACCATTCTGCTTACTTTTAACCCACTGACATGCGCTAATTGGTACGGGGATTCATGTTGCTTTGACCGCGCTCCAATGAGATTCTGTGCACGTTCAGCCTCCGTGCCGAATCCGTGCCGGAGCTCGACCAGTCTTGGATGGTTGCTCGTCCCTGAAGGATGAAGTTGCCAGAAACAACTGAAATTAATGCACTGATTTATTATCTAAATGTTAAGTCAATTTCTTCTATTTAAAGGTGGGACTGGCAGTGGAGTGTTAGATTGTTTTCATCTGGTTTAATCAATTCGTGCGTAGGAATCGTGAGGCGAGTTTCCAAATCCTGGCTTCGTCTCTTTGGCTTAAAGGGTTCTGGAGACTTCAGTTTAAAACTTAAGACTTGGTTCTGCATGTTTTCCTGCACAATTGTAAAACATTTTTCGTTCAAATTCATAATCAGTTAAATTTCGTGCCAAATACGTGTTTGCACTGTTGTGCACCCAACGAATTCGAGTAAAATATACTTGAAATCGATTATTTACATGATCATCAGGTGAGGCAAACTGGAATGGACAAAATTGAAAAAGATCGACCATCACTGTTCGGAATGACCAGCCACCACATCTATCCTAGTATTTATGCATTCTAGTCTACTCGAGATGAAGATACCCTTTCATGAATTTGAACGAAAACTGAGTGAAAATTTGCGGGAAACCACATAATTCAGAAGTTCAAATTATTGTAGAACAAGAGACGAAGTCATCTCCGAGGCAGAGCAGAGGTTTGCTTTTTTTTTGCCGGGGGGGGTAAGGTTTGCGGCTTGACTTAACAATTTCGTGTAACGCCTCCTCTCCCATCGCTAATGCGTCTCTGTCTTTCAACAGTTACATCATTGTCACCGAAAAGTTCCCGTTCTTTTCTTCCTCGTTTTTTTATTAAAAAAAAGCTCTCCTTCAGCCTCTTCCAGGTTCATTTCTTATAACTTCTTCAAGATATGAGGCATCACAAATTTGCCCTGATCCGAAACTGCTCAGCCGTCACTGAAAACAGTCCCAGGGTCAGGTCGTCAGGCGTAGGAATCGTCTTGTTACTGGCGACCGAGCCTGATCGGTGAAGATGCCTTGAAATTGTCGCTCCGACTGCATTTTGTTTGTGGACCTTGTGCTGTATCCTTACCCGCGTCAAGTGTTTTGTTTCCCGTGCAAGACTTGGTTCTTTGTTTTTGAGATCCATATATTTATTCTTGTTCATCAATGCAGAATTACTTTTAATTTTTCCGAAGAGTTCTTGTTATGGGAGGTACTTTGCCAATTTTACATGTACACGTATAAGGCCTGAAAGGCGGTTTTGCACAGTTAAAAGGATTCTTCGGCTTTATGGAAACATCCGAAGGAGCTTAAAACTTGCAAGCTAGAAGGAGACAAGAAGGTCAAATAACACAGCGATCAGGCTAGAGGAGCGAGATGCCATTCGAACAAGCCTCCAGACTTCCCATTTGAACTCCAGATCAGGAAGTTGTCTCGGCAACCGAGAAATTTCATCTTCAGCCAGGATCACAGTTAACGGCGTGGCTGCACGGCTCGAACGTGACCAGAAAACAACCGTTGCATAATTCGGTTACCGCGCCAGAGTCATCATCGGTTGTTTTTTATACTTCAACGGTGCTCTAGAGATGGTGATACAACACACTGCTTATTGCACATTATACTTCCTGAGATGACTGACGACTGCTTGTCCTGAAGAAAAATATGAAATCCGATCGGGCCTTAGGAATAGTTGAGCTGAGCTGCTATGGTTTTTTTTTAGTGGTTTCCCGATTGGATTGGATTC